AGGCAGGGCTTCCTCCTGAAGGGTGGTTGGGTAGGTTTGAACTGCCAGCCTGCCAGTTAGCAGCCAAGCGCTTAACCGTTGCACCACCAGGGGCGGTTCTCCTCTGTCACATGGAATCACTGTGAGTCAAAATTGAATTGACAGCATCCAACAACAAGATAGAAAAGCTACACAACTCTCTTCACTTAGTACCACATAATTTTTAATTCCTTACCTAAATTTTTGTTGCAATCACAGAGAACTGCTCCAATGGATTCTGTACAAATGCCTACAGGTTGGAGGAAAAGGAAGGAAAGAAATCATTAGGGCCTGAGTGTCAATGGAAGGTTGATATTTTATCTTCCAGGTTTACCAGATGTGGCAGGATTTGGAAAAGGCATTTTAGATCATCACTTTTTAGCACCATAATTAGTGGCACTAATGTGCCTGCTGTGTATGCCTAGTGCCAGCATTTAATTGTAGTCAGGAGACTTTGAGAAACAAAATGATCTATCCCTGCACCAGCAAGCTGCAGACAGAATCAATAGCCCTGTGCTGGCAATGTCATTTTATCGTCTCCTCCTTAATCTCCCCTACTCTTCTGCGATTACTTTTACTATTACTGCTCATTTAATGAGACCATGGTGTTTGGAGCAGATGGTCCCATCAGTTAACTCTGGAAGGCTCTAATGGAATTGAGTTCAAATCAGGTTAAAAGTAACACAATTACAAATCTTCATAGCCCTCGCCTCATAGCACGTTGCTCTATGTACCTGTTAGGCACCAGCGTCAGGGCAGGCTTCAAGCAGAAGGACTCAGGCTAAGGTTCAGAGAGACCCAGTGTGTCTGTTGGGTTGTTCATTATTCATTCACTCTTTCATTCCTTCAATCATTCTTTCTCATCTGGACGCTGCAGGACAACATGAACAACACGGGCATAGTCCCTGCCTTGTAGAGCTCGTCTGCTGGGGGAGAAAGACAATAGCAGGTCAATGAGCAAGATCATGGGACGTGGTGAGAAGAACTAGGAAGGAAGGGGGGGAGAGCTGATGGGAGGGTTGAGGACATACGTAGTTCAGGTGGGGTGGTCTGTAAAGCTCTCTAAGGAGGTGCTATCGAAGTGTTGTTAGATGCCATTGAGTTGGTTCCAACTCAGCGACCTTATGTACAACAGAACAAAACCCTGCCTGGTCCTTCACCGTTCCAACAATCTTTGCTCTGCTTGAGCCCACTGTTGCAGCCCTTCTTTTTGGCTGACCCTCTATTTTACTGGGCATGGTGTTCTTCTCCAGAGACTGGTCCCTCCTGAGAACATGACCACAGTACATGAGATGAAGTCTCTCCATCTGTGCTTCTATGATATTTTCAATATTCTTCACCAGCACCATAATGCAAAGGCACCAACTCTTCTTTGGTCTTCCTTATTCATTGTCCAGCTCTCACACGCATATGAGGCGATTGAAAATACCATGGCTTGGGTTAGGCGCACCTTAGTCTTCAAAATGACATTTTGCTCTTTAACACTTTAGAGAAGTCTTTGCAGCAGATTCCCCCAGTGCAATATGTCGTCTGATTTCTTGACTGCTGCTTCCATGGACGTTGACTCATAGCAACTATATGGGATCCAAGTAAAATGAAATCCCTGACAACTTCAATCTTTTCTCCATTTATTGTGTTATTACTTATTGGTCCAGTTCTGAGGATTTTTGTTTTCTTTAGGTTGAGGTGTAATCCGTACTGAAGACTTTAGTCTTGGATCTCCATCAGTAAGTGGTTCAGCAAATGTCATGTCATTTGCATATCTCAGGTTGTTAATGTGTCTTCCTCCTACCCCAATGCCACATTCTTCTTCACATAGTCCAATTTCTTGGATTATTTGCTCAGCGTACAGATTGAATAAGTATGGGGAAAAGATACAACCCTGACACACACCTTTCCTGATTTTGATCCGTGCAGTAGCCCTTGTTCTGTTCCAATGACTTCCTCTTGGTCTTTGTACAGGTTCCTCACAAGTGCAATTAAATATTCTTGAGTTCCCATTCTCCTCAATATTATCCATAATTTGCTACTATCCCCACACTTGAATGTTTTTTGCATAGTCAATAAAACACAGGTAAACATCTTTCTGGCATTCTTTGATTTTAGTCAAGATTCATCTGACATCAGCAATGATATCTCTCATTCCACATCCTCTCCTGAATTCCTATTGAATTTCTAGAAGTTCTCTGTCAATGTAATGCTGCAACCATTTTTGAATTACTTCCAGCGGCTCTGTGGGAGAAAGACCTGGTGATCTGCTCCTGCAATGGAAGCCCTCTAGGAAAGTTCTGTGGGACTTATGTCTTACGGAGTTGCTATGAGTCAGTACCAACTTGATGGCACCTGACAATAACACTTTCTGAAGGGCACATCTATCACCATTGAGTCTATCCAGTGTCTGTCCTTCTTCCTTCTTCTTGTCCTCCTCCTTCTTTTGAGTAACCATGTCTGACCTACCTTTTGCCCAATGGTCACTGGCTACAGTCCCCATCCAAGTGGTTCCCTTGCTGTCCCTTCTTCCTAGGCTGAGTCTTCATTGGCTGCTTCTGCATCTTCCAGGGACAACTTCAAAGAGGAATGGGACCATCTGGGGACTGAAGTGGAGAGGAGTAACCAACTGCCCAAGGGTCGTCCCATCTCTCAAAAGCCTTTCTTCATACACCCTGAGTTCTCACAGTGATTTCTGCTTCCATGGTGGCACTCACTCATATTCTCATATTGGCCTTGTTCAAGCAGGAAAGCTGGACACATTCTCTGGACCAGTGCTATGCACGTAGCAAACCTAAAAACCATCCATTGAATTGAACTCTTATCATTTATTGACCAATTAATTTGTCAAGTGCTCTTCTGAAGGCTTGTTGTTTTCTCCTCTCATAACTAACCATTTGTTTTGGTTCCCTAGTGGCGCTCTAACAAGAATATACCACAAATGGGATGGCCTTAACAAACATGAATTTATTCTTACAATTTGGAGGCCTTAAGAAGGGCAAGTTCAAAGTGCCAGGTTCTAGGGGCTGGGTGAAAGTCCCTCAACCTTGGGGTCCAGCTCTGCCTCCTATCCTGGCCCACTGGAGCTAGAGGCATTTCTTTACTCAGACAGCTGCTGGGCTGCTGAGGCTGAGAAGCCCCAAGGTTGACAAGTCAAAAGGCACAGTCCCGATGTTACCAAACCACATGGCAGGCCAATAACTTCAGTCCATTGTAAGTCCCCAGGTCGGCAGAACATAGCAGGCTGCTGAGCAACGACACAGCTAGATGCAGGGTCCAATCGTGCCATAGGCTAGAGACCATTCTCAAAGCTTCTCCTTATATATGGGAAGCAGACCACATAACCAAAGGCAGCTATCAGCTGTTCCCAGTAATTCTACCATGGAGTTGATTACCAGTCTCATTATGGGAAATACTACATTCAGCTGCCCAGCCACTCAACCAGACCCAACCAAGTTGACACACAAATGTAACCACCATACAATTTATGCACATTTCACAGATGGGAAATTCAAGTTCTGAGACATTGCGTGTCATGCTCAAGGGTACATACCTGGTTAAGTGGTAAGTTTCCTGTCTAGATCTTTCTGAACCATGGCACTGCACTCCTTCTTATGCATGAATTCAAAGAATGAGAACCCAGTGGTGTGCATTTAACCCAAATTGTATTTACTACAAGTATCTCTTTTAAAAATTTTTATTTTATTGTGGTTATATATATATGTATATGTATATATAACGGAAAGTCTACTATTTTAACCATTTTGAAATATGCATTTCAATGACATAATTTACTTTCGTCATGATGTGGTACTATCACCACTACCATTGCCAAAAGTTTTTCATCACCCAAACAGAAGCTCTGTACCACTTAGGGAGTAACTCCTCATTTCCACCCTGATGTTATTGCTGTTTTTGTTATGTGCCATAGAGGCGGACCCAACTCATAACGACCCCTCCTTGGGTTTCCGAGGCGGTATCACTACGGAAGTAGATTGCCCAACCTTCTTCCACTAATAAATTTTTGTCTCTATGTATTTCCTAGTTGGGATATTCTGCATGAGTGGGATCGTATAAGATTTGTCCTGTGGTGTCTTATTTCACTCAGCACAGTGTTTCCTCGGATGAAGTACAGCTAGAATGTTCCTTAGAAACAAGGATGATGAGACTTTGCCTTTCGTGGTTAGATCACGTTGTCAGAAGGGACCATTCCCTGGAGAAAGTTACCACGCTTGGTAAAGCAGAGAGAGGGCCAACCACAAGGAGGAAGAGTGTCAAGGAGGAGGACTGACACCGTGGCTGTAGCAGTGGGTTTAAAAACAGCGATGTTGTGCGGATGGCGCAGAACTGGGCCGTGTTTCCTTCTGTCGTACACAGGGTCTCTATGAGCTGTAGCAATGAAGAACAAGGATGTCCATTAGCAGGGAAGCGTGGCCGTGTGGATGCTAGGTCCGTTTCTTATTACATGTGTACTTGCTTGGATTGTGTAGAACGGGTATCTCAAATTCTCTTATGACTTTAAGTTATGATTTCCACAAAGGTCTTGAAATAACGACACAATTATTTCACAATTTATTGTCATTAAAGGTCAACAGCAAGGTCTTCAGGATCAGGAGAGGGACTAAACAGACCACGATTTAAAATGAATCATTTTGATGAACATAAGATTATGTGTCTCCACTCCAAAAGGATGAAATAATGAAGAGAACTGAAGAATGCATGTGGCCTTCCCAAGCCTCTTGATGTCTTGGCCTGTGTGCTCATGTCCCACGTGGAGGCTAAACTTCAAAACTGTCCTCAAACTGGAACCTTTCCATAGGTAAAGACAGACAGCAAATATTGACCCCAGGATCAATTGTTTCTGATGCAGTTACCAACGCTCCAGTCCAAAGGAACAGCCACTCACACCGCATACAGATAGCTAGCTGCTCACAGGAGGGCTTGAACCCCAAATCGCAGAGACAGACAGAGAAATTCCCCTTCTCTGAACAAAAATGATCCTTCCCAGAATGGGGAAGATGATGAAGATACTGATTGTCTTTGTTGTTGGCGTGGACGTCTGGTCTTGCTCAGGTAAGGAACCCAATGACAGGGCCACCTCTGTGTTATGACATGGGGCCTTCCTGACCCTGTCTCTCTGTCTTCCTGTGGCCCCGTGGGCTTTGTGTCCAGGATTGCCGGTGTATGACTACGATCCGGCCTCCTTGAGGGAAGCGCTTAGTGCATCTGTGGCAAAGGTGAATTCGCAGGCCCTGAGTCCGTACCTGTTTCGGGCTTTCAGAAGCTCAATAAAAAGGGTAAGTGCAAGGATGAGGCCTTTACATTCTTCCTTACCACCTTCTGGTTTTTTGTTTTTTAAAATGTTGTCACTTTGTTGGGTACACTTTTAATTTTTTCAGCTTCAAAAGATAATAGCTAGACATCTCTTTTGCACTTTTTTTTTTTTTTTTTTTTCTGGATAGGATACAGATTTAACACAATGTTTGCCACCAAGCTCTTAAAGCGACCTTCGATGCTCCTTCTGCTGTTCATACTCTAGCCTCATCTATTCCCAGACAGCGCCCTCTGAGCTCCCTACCTTTGATCTGAATTTCTCACAGTTCCTCCTGGGGCTTAAAGAACTGCTCATTTATTGGAAATGAGGATCCTTTCAGATTCAATAGTTGCTCCGAGTACTGTAAGGTCCCTAGATGGCGCCAATGGTTTGTGCTTTCCTACTATCCTGGAGTTTGATAGCTTGAACCCACCCAGTGGGAGAGCGGAAGAAAAGTCCTGGTGACCTACTTCTGTTAAGATTACAGACAGGAAAGCCCTACAGGGCTCACTTCTGCTCTAACACATGTGGGACCAACACACACTGGAATCAACTCCATGGCAACAGGTTTGTTTTGTTAGACTGGCTCCTGATAGCTGATGGATTTTGTTTTTTGAGCCAAAGAAACCTACTTCCTTCATCAATATGACAATATTCTGTTTCCTGTTAGCTCTGGGAAACAGGGAATGAATCTTCCTGGGCTTCTGAAGACTGATCTGTGATGGGTGAACAAAAGAATGTCCTCCAAAGGAGAAGCATAGACAGGAACTTTCTCCTTCCTCCTGCTCCCAGATGATTTCATCAGCTTGGTCGTTGTCTTACGGGGGCTCGCTTGGAAGGTAGAAACCGAAATACCCCCCAGCTAGTTTAGGTGAAGTCAGGGATGGAGGAAGTTCCATAAAGTAAGGTGTTCTAGTAATGAACCTGCATGTTGCTGGATGCTTGGGACCTGGAGTGGAGATGGGTCAGGAAGCCAGGGGATGACCACTTCATCACAAGGTCCAGCTGGCCATTGCTTGTTCTCTCTGCCTGCCTCCCACTTCGTGAGCCCTCCTGCCTCCCTTGTAGCTTACCCCTGGCCGGTTCTGTCTCTTACTGTGAAGAGCACAGGGTTCCTGGTTTCTAGCCCAGTCTCCATACAGCATATTCATCTTGACCCTTCTTTATCAGACAATGGCTCAGTTTCTTATTTCCAACTCCCCAGTAAATGAATCTAATCTCCCCCCTTGACTTCACTAATTAAGCCATAGGTCATTAAGACTACGGACTATCCTTTGGTTAGGTGCTCACTCTAGGATCAGGCTGTCATGGCCTGGGTAGGGTCCCTTGGACCTGGACGTTGTGTGGAGGAATGGCAAGATGAGTGTGATCAGCTGCTAAGCCAAATGTTGGGCTCCTTCTGGAAGGGTTGTGGTTGTTAGTCGCTGTCAGATTGATTACGCCTTATGGTGACCCTACGTGTGCAGAGTTGAACTGTTCTCCATAGAGTTCTCAAGCCTGTGACATTTTCAAAGCACATCATCAGGCCTTCCAAGGTGCCTCTGGGTGGGTTTGAACTGCCAACCTTTTGGCTAGCAGTCAAGTACTTAACTGTGCCACCCAGAGACTCTTTCTAGAAGGGGACTGGGCCAGAATAAAGAAGCCCCTTCCTGGCCCACTGGTTGCATCAGATTCCATCTTTTGCACTGAAGGAGATTCACTTGAGGTGTTGCAGACTCCAGGCACTCTTGCCAAATGTTCACTTGGACAGTTCAAATTCACTAGTAATTTAGTTCTTGTTCACTACAGAAGAGAGTAAGTATTTAATTAAATGAACAAAATTAGGAGGACGGGTTCCAAGAGGACCCATGGCTGATACTTCTGGAATCCAGCCTGTGGAGATGAGTGAGTGTGAGCCTAACCACCCAGGGGACTCTCCAGCATGAGCGCCATCTTGGAATTGTCACCCAGACCTGAGCCTGGCGTATGTGCACCTACAAATAAACACGCTTACATACATGTTCGTGACTCTTAGTGGCTATGTCCCCACGAAATGCTTGTCCCTGTCCTGTGTACCACTCTCCCACCGGAAAGTCTGTCTATTCTTGCCCCTGCCCAGCCATCTCTGGTTACTCAAGTCCAGTGGTCTAGCTACGCTCACCACTGAGTCCTCCAGGGAATCTTCTTTTCTCCTTTCATGGGAAAGGGTATCCTCCTCCTATGAGCTCTCCTGGGTTCCACACTTTGCTGTATGTTGTTCTGGTGAGTCATGGCTTCTACAAATGCTTATAAGCAAGCAAACAAAAAACAAACCAATTCTTGCCAAGTCGATTATGACTCCAACTCATGGCAGTTCCATGTGTGTCAGAGTAGAAGTGTACACCATGGGTTTCCATTGACCAAGTTTTTAGATGTAGCTCACCAGACTTTTCTTCCAAGGTGCCTCTGGGTGGACTTGAACAACCGACCTTTCAGTGAACAGCTGACCATGTTAACTGTACCAGCCAAGGATTCCAGAAACACCCCAGGAGGCCCCTTCTCCCCATTCACCAGATATGGGAGGGACATTAAGAGTCAAGCAAAGTCTTCAGGAGAAAGATGAGTGAACAGATCACTGGAACTGAGAGGGCAAGCAATTACAAAAAAGAAATACAAATGAGTAAGAAAACTGGGAAAAAAACATTGGCTCCCTAATAGCCAAAAAAAAGAGATTAAAATAATAAGGAGAAAAAGAAATGATAAGCACTGCCAGAGAGAGTATAAATTGGTCGTTATCCTGGAAAAGTGTTAAACGTGCTATGAGTTTTGATCTCCTAGTTTCACCTCCAGGAATGGCCGGAAGAATCAGTTGGCTTAGTCCTGTTTGTACGGGGCGGGTGTTTTGGGACAGAGTTCAGTGGACTTGAGGAGAGGGGTCAGGCCTGCTACTTTGTCCCTGAGTTTGCATGCATGAGCCCAGCGGGTCCTGCCCCTGGCTGCACACGTGTGAGTGTCACTTGGGAGTTTTAAAGAATCCTGATGTCTAGGAGGGGATAGTGGACGACGTAAAGCTGTGTCCCTGGGGTGGCGGTGTGTCTCATGTGTTCAGAGATGCTCTCCTGGTGATTCTGAGGTGGAGTCAGGGTGGAGAACCAGTGGATTTTGCCAGCAGACCTGGATGGAGTACTTTCACAGCTGATACTTCAAACCACGTTCCTCTGAGGCTGCACATTTGTAAAAGGATGGAAAAGGGCGAGGCAATGTGACCTAAGCAATTATGGCACCTGCTCCAACTGTGACACTGGGTTCACCCAGAGTGTTCCCTCAGTGGGCGCAGAGAGAATGAAAGGTGGACACAGGCCTGGTGGTGGGGTGCAGAGGGAGGTGAAGAGCACAGAGGTCCACCAATTTCACAGAAGTCAGATTGCACTGGGAGGAGAGAGAGCGGGAGAGAGAGAAAGAGAGAGGGAGGGAAGGAGGGATAGAGAGAGAAAAAGAGAAAGAGAGAAGGAGGGAAGGAGGGACGGAAAGAAGGGAGGAAGGGGGGAAGGAAGGGCTAAGAGGGGGAGGAGAGAGGGAGAGAGCAAGAAAGAATGAGAGAGAGAGAAACAGAGAGAGAGAGAAGGAGAGAGAGAGAGAAGGTGAGAGGTAGGGAGAGAGGGAGGGAGAGAGGTCGAAATTGAGAGCTCTGGTGCTGGACACACAATGTTGTTGTTGTGTGTTGCCAAGGCGACTTTGACTCATAGCGACCCCATAGGAGGGTAGAATTACCCTATAGGGTTTTCTAGGCTGTAGTCTTTAGGCAAACAATTTGCCAGGTCTTTTCTTCCGTGCAGCAGCTGATAGGTTTGAACTGCCCACCCTCCAGTTAGCAGCTGAGCACTTAACTGTTGTGCCACTGGGCTCTTGGACACAATGACACACGATAAATCACAGAGATTCTGTGTCATCAGAACTTCACGACTGCTCCCCCCCCCCCATCCATCCCTGGGAGAAAGGGCCTCGTGTGCAGATCCGAGCTGGTGGAGCAGGAAGAGGGGCTGGACAGCACCCCAGCAGCCGAGCTGGGCTTGCGGCTTAATCACAAGTTCAGGAGTTGGTGAGGAACCGTGGAGCATTTGGAAACTGACACCTAGAATATATAAACATAGGTCGCTTGGCGTTAGGGCCTGCTTCCCGTTCTAATTTCTTATATCCCTGTTCCCCTCTGGTCTTGTTTCTTACCTGTGGGAGGAGGCCATTGAGCCAGGATATTGCCACAGTCATTTGTGGCTTCGATGGCAGTGGGAGATGCTGTAAATATTTTCTCCTGGTGCTGGGGGAAGCACTGGTAGCATCGTAGACTTCCCAAACACACTTTATCTTTGTGAAGGTCAATATCCTGGACGACGACAGCTTGAACATGGACATCGAATTCAGGATTCGCGAAACTGCCTGCAGGAGAGATTCTGCAGAAGACCCCTCCACCTGTGACTTCCAACGCGGCTACCATGTGGTGAGTGTCGCTGGAAAGGCCACCATCCCCCAAAACAGCATAAGCGAGAGCCTCATCTCATTCCATGACTTGGAGCTGATGCTGGAGTCCAACTAAGATCTTGGCCACTCCCTGGGATCAGCCACACTGGACAGTACCCCTAACTACGTTCACACTGTATTGCCTGGGAGTGCGGCAGGGTGGCTTAGTGGTTGGGTCTTGAGCGCTGGCATCCTGTGATCCTGAGTGATCTGGAGAAATTATTTAACCCTTTGTTGCCTCAGTTTCCTGCTCTTTAAAATGGGGATAGCAGTGGCTCCAGACAAAGTGAATGCAAAGAGGTCAACGTCGAAGTTAAGTCCCAGCAACATTTCAAATTCTAACATAAACGTGTGTAAACCACCAACGATGTTGGGGTGCATGCTGCATGACTTTGTAGTTGGCCTTTGCCAAACCATTTCCCCCATCAGCTTGTTGTTGTTGTTATTAGCTGTCAAGTCAGAACCGACCCATAGCGACCCCTCCTTGGGTGTCCGAGGTGGTATCACTATGGAAGTAATTCGTCCAACCTTCCTTCCGAGGAGTGGCCAGTGGGTTTGAACCACCAGCTTTCTGGTTAGCAGTCAGCTGCCTTAGGCACTACGCTACCAGAGGTCCTCCCGTCAGCTTGGCCTCCATGAAATCAGGAGTGTGGTGTGTTCGTTTCTATAGCCTCTGTGATCAGAACATAGGATGGCACTTAATTAACATCCATGGGCATGAGTCCTGCCTGAACAGGGCAGCACCACCGACCCAATATTTGTTTCCCAAAGTGTTTACATTACATTCAGATGTACGAGTCCTGGGGTACTTCTTACTCTTCAGTTGTGTTGTCTTAGGGCTCCTTCACAGGCGTGTAGAGTCCCTAGTTGTCAACAGTTAAGAACTTGTTCACTCATGAAAAGATTGGAGGCTTGAGTCCACACAGAGGCACCTGGGAAGCAAGGCCTGGTGATCTACTTCCAAAAAATCGGCCACTGAGAACCTCATGGGGCACAGTTCTTCTCCAACACACACGAGCTGGAGTTGACTGTCATCAGGTGGTTGGGGTCACAGTGATGCCAATTCTCCAAAGGTGTTTTTTTTTGTTCTTGTTATTTTTTTCATGGAATTTTCATCGAGACCTGGTTTTATAAAGAAGCCGAAGCAACATGCGGGCATTATTTCTAAGGAAATCTGAGGACAAAGGGGAAGAGGGTTAAGTCCTCTGGGACTCTTAGCCATCCCTCTGTTGGGATGGGAAGTGATTCAAGGCTTCCCACTCAGCGCTCATCAAGGGAAGCTCTGTTTTCCCCGGAGGCCCAAGCTGTGTCAAACCTGGGAGGGCTATTTAAATATTTCATTTGGGTCTGCTGAGATGTTGAGAAATGTCATTTTGGAGAAACGAATCCCTGTGTAAATTTTTCCTCTCAGCCTCACATAGTTTTGCCAGATTTCTCGTAAAGACCCAACCCTGAAGGCCTAACTCAGTGCTCTGTCATTTCCAGCCAGTGGCCATCTGCAGAAGCTCCGTGCAGGTGTCCTCACAGCAGGTGCGGGACGTCTGGGTTCGCTGCCACTGGTCCACCAGCTCCGAGTCTAACAGCAGCGAGGAGGTAGGGCCAGAGGCTGGAGCTCCTGTCAGGCACTGCCTCTCAGAGTCTGCGTGTTTTTGTTGTGTTGAGTCAGTTCCAACTCATAGCACTTGTGTGCACAACAGAACGAAACACTCCTGGTCCTGCGCCAGGCTCCCAGTCATTGCTCTGTCTGAGGCCATTGTGGCAGTCACTGTGTCAGTCCATCTCCTTGAGGGTCTTCAGTTTTGCTGACCCTCTACTTGACCACACATGATGTCTTCCTCCAGGGACTGGTCCCTCCAAATTATGGAAGACAAAGTCTCGCCATCCTGGTTCTAAGGAACATTCTGGTTGTACTTCTTCCAAGAAGTATGTTGGACTGTGTGGATCATAACAAATTATGAGTGACATTGCCAAGAATGGGAGTTACAGAACACTGCATTGCACTTGTGGAGCTCTGGTGGCCCAGTGCCTAAGGCACTTGACTGCTAACAAGAAGGTTGGTGGATCAAACCCACCAAGCTGCTCCATGAGAGGAAGATGGAGCATGGAGCAATCTACTTTTGTAAAGACTGACAGCCTCAGAAACACAATGGTGGTGGCTAAGAGTTGGAATTGACTTGATGGCAGTGGGCTTGTTTTTTGTTAACTGTGCTTATGGAATATCTGTACATAGAACAAGAGGCAGTTGTTTGAACAGGGTCTGTGTGGGTCTGAGAAAAGCAGAGTTGTGGGATAAAGTAAGAAGCTGCTGGGTGGTACAAACAGTTAATGCATTCACTGTTAATTGAAAGGTTGATGGTTTGAATCAACTCAGAGGAAGTGTGGAAGAAAGGCCTGGTGATCTACTTTAGAAAAATCAGCCATCGAAGGCCCTACAGAGCACAGTTCCACTCTGACACGCACCGGGTCGCTGTGGGTTGGAATCAACGGCAACTGGTTTTTTAATTTTTATTGTGAGTCGGTTGAAAGTTTACAGAGCACATTCATTTTCCATACAGCAGTTCATACACATTTTGTTTCATGACATTGACCGCAATTCCCCACAATATAACAGCTCTCTCTCCACTTTCTCCCTGTGATTACCCCTTCCCTGAGTCCTTCTTTCCTCTGCATTTCACCCCCAAACTATCTCCCTATGAAAATACTGCCCTTCTCTTCTACCATGGGGAGCAATGGTGGCGTAGAGCCTAAGGCATTTGAGTGCTAACCAGAAAGCTGGTGCTTCAAACCCACCAGCCACTCCTTGGAAGGAAAGTTGGGCAATCTACTTCCATAGTGATACTGCCTCGGAGACCCAAGGAGGGGTCACTATGAGTCGGATCTGACTCGACAGCAGAGAGTTTGGTTTTGATTTGGTTCTCCCATGACTGATCATTGGAAGAAGTGTATCTACCTGGTGTAAATGTTCACCCTATATACCTGTTTATTGTTTGGCTGGAAGCAAGGGGCCACAGTCTTGGGGGTTTCACCAGGCTCTATCAGACCAGTAAGCCTGTTTTTCTTTTTTCTTTAAATTTTGTTTTGAGTTTTGTCCCACATTGTTCTTCCAATTTATCCAGGATCTCCTGCACCAAACCCTTACTGAGTGGTTGACAGTGGTAGCCAGGCACCATCTAGTTCTTCTGGTCTCATGGCCTTATAGGCTGAGGTTTTCATGGTCCACTAGTCCCTCAGACTAATTGTTTCCATGCATCTTTGGTTTTCTTCATTCTTCTTTGCTCCAGATGAGGAGAGACCAATTGTTGCATCTAGATGACGCTTGCAAGCTTTTAAGACCCCAGTCTCTATTCACCAAAGTAGGATGTAGAACAATGTTTTTGTGTGGTATTCTTGCCAATGGAACTTGATGTTCCCTGCAACCATGGTCCTGAGCCCACAGCTCTAACAACTTGCTCCATGTGGGTGGTTGGCTGTGGCTAAGAAGTTATCATAATTTTGTCCCCTGTTCGTTCTATATGTATGGACATTCTTACAGCACATACAAATACGTATGTATAAGTATCGTCTGCCAACCTTGTATATGATCATGTGTCTAGTCCCTTTTGCACAGACATACCTGATCACTCAGCCTGTCCACCTATGTGTCTACTGTATATCAATGTTTATTATCACCAATAACATGTGGCAACTGCTTTTTTTAAAATTTATTTTCTGACAGAGGAGCTGGATTATCACTCCAGTGTGAGCAAGTGTCACTGTGCTTATTCATTGTGTTCTCCAGTTTACATATACCGTCTCATTTCCAGTCTGCTACTTCCCCCAGCCTGTCCTCTCACAGCCCTCTGTCCTGGAGTTTTGGACAGGAGCTCATAGCAGCAATTAGCAAATCTTCAAGATTTAGATCTACATCTGTGGTTCTGTAGTGTGTGGGTCAGTGGAGTGAAGACAGCTGGGTCAATGTTCAAACTCTTCCCAAGTTCTCTGCAGGTTAGTCTTAACTCTCAGGACTGGAAGGCACTCTTGTGGCGCTGTGATTAAAGCATTTGGCTGCTAAACAAAAGGTTGGCAGTTCAAACCTACCAGCTGCTGTGAAGGAGATGAGGCAGTTGGCTTCTATAAAGATTGACAACCTTGGAAACCCTATCAGGTAGTTCCACTCTGTTCTCTAGGGGTGCTCTGACTCAGAATAGACTTGAAGGCAGTGGATTGGGTTTGGGCTTTCCTTCCATAAAGATCGACAGTGTGGTAGCTACATTTGTGTGTCAACTTGGCTGGATCTGGTTCAGTGGCTGGGCAGCTGGATGTAGTATTCCCCATGATGAGACTAGTAATCAACTCCATGGTGGAATCTACTGTGAGGAGTTGAGTAGCTGCCTTGGGAAAGTGGTCTGCTTCCTGTAAAGGAGAAGCCTTGGGGAATGGTCTATAACTTATGGCATGCTTGGACCCTGCATGTAGCTGTGTCATTGTTCAGCGGCCTGCCATGTTTTGCTGACCTTGGAACTTTCAATATACTTGAGTCAATGGCCTGCCATGTGCTTTGGCTTCTAGCTCCACTGGGCCAGGAGCAAGAGGCAGAACTGAAGCCCAAGGTTGAGGGACTTTCACTCAGCCCCTAGAGCCTGGCATTTGAACTCGGACTTCTAGTCTCCCGAATTGTAAGAGGATAAACTCCTGTTTGTTCAAGCCATCCCATTTGTGATATATTCCTGTCAGAGCAGCTCTAGGTAACCAAGAAAGACAGCCATGGGAATCCTATGGGGCATTTCTTCTCTGTCCTACAGGGTCACTATAAGTCGGAGTCGACTTGGTGGCAGTGGATTTTCACGATCTGCAGCTTCTTCACCTTATAGGTTATTGAAAGAATCACATAAGTGGCTCAAAGGTGTGATCCAGAATCTTGTACATGATAGAGACTTCCTTTCTCTTTTAGTCTCCTTGACTGTGATTTGCAGAAACACTGTAAAATCAAAATTTTGTAAACTTCCTGCCTGAAATTATATTACATATTTATTTGTCTCTCTTATCGACTGCTTTCCGTACTAGAACATATGTCTCCTGAGGGCAGGGAGTTTGTTTTGTTAGTCCAGGACCATGTCTGATGCACCGTTGCTGTTGCTGTCTCCCATCAAACCAGCCTCTGGCTTACAGTGACCTCAGACGCAATGGAATGAAGGGCTATGTTTTCCTCCCAAGATTTTTATAGTTTTCAGCCTTAAGTTCAGTATTTTATTCTGTTGTACCTAGAATCACTACAAGGAGTCAGAACTGACTTGATAGCACCTAACAACAACAGCAATGGTCACTTTGAGTTAATTTTTTTTATATGGTGGAGTTAGGAGTTCGATTTCATTCTTTTGCATTGAACTGTTTTGGCACAGGCCCCATCCTAGACCAATCACTGTGAGAGTAGCCAAGAGACTGACCTGTGAGTGTCCTGAATAGATGGGTAGCCCAGACAACTGCCAGAAAGACTGTGAACTAAGCAGCCACTCTACTCTGTGACCAATGCATGGTCTTCCAGTGGCTCCATGAAGACAATTAATGGGTACCTTTTCCTAACTCAACGCAATATGGCGACCTCATTGATAGAAATCTCCTAACTCTGACCTAAGCTCAGTCTGTTTGCAAGTCCATCAGGTTCACAGTTGCATTTGGGTGTACATTCTGGGTCTGGTGGAAAGCAAGCCCTCCAGATATTTTCCTTTTTCTTTTCAGTATAAAACACACTATTTTCCTTTTTGTCTCTTTTATATGTTGGTATAATTACTTAGATGATTTTTGAGGACCTGTTGAGATCTTATAAATGGAGAAACAGTTATCTACAAGGTAAGTTGAGATTTGTTTTTCTTAAAATTTTTTTTCTTGCAATAATTTCATATGTTAGTGAGTCCATTTAAAATTGGAAATACACATATATCCTTTAAAATGTAGCAATTTAAGAAAACAAGCATTTTCCTCTGCCCCTTTCTTCACAGTAGGCAATAATGACACGATTGTCTAGATATCTTTTCCCATTTACACCTGACTGCTTGGATGGTCCCTGCATTGCTGTCTTGCAGGCAGGCCAGGACTGGTTTTCTCCCTAAGAGCATCCACTGACTTGAGCATTCTCTCTGGGTGCACTGCCTGAGTTATGGACTCATATATCCAAAGGCGTGAGCTGGGAGGATCAGGACCGACCTCATCAGATCCGGGCCGACCTCTGTGGTCCTCCAGCCGTGCGATGAGAACTGACGGTCCTTCTGCGTATCTTGGTGCGGGGGTGGGGAGCTCACCTTGGTTATCTTCTTGTCTGGCCTCTTATCTGAGGTCAGATTGGGTTAGTGTTCTGTGGTTCAGGAATCATTTTTCATGGGCCTGAGATTGTGCCCTATTGATGGTGATGATGGCAAAACTCTCTGTGATCCCCCCCACAACTTCCCTGAGAAGTAGCATATTTGTGGTATCAATGATAACATCACCGAACATTCTGGAAGTGGGGCGAGGGGAGTGCCTTATGACTGTTACTGTGTTACAGGTCTCATTTCTGATGAATCCAGAAGTGAGCAATTTTATGAAAGGTCATCAGGTAAGTGGTTCTGTTTTCTCCCGTAGGATCCCCACAGACCCTTTTCTGATTCTTGGATTCTGTGAAGTCTTTTCATAAGATTCAAACACCAGAAACACAGACTCTTTTAAATGAAAATGAAAGTAAAGATACAACATCAACTTGCAAATCGTTCAAGAGTCATTAACTCATTTAGAATTACAAGGAATTAAAGCATCAGATCTGCCTTGGAAAATCCTCAGAGACCTGTTTGCTGTTCATTGGAGCATCTTCTGAATAGCCCAACCCTTCTGATCCCCTCTTTGTCCTCCACCCTCAACTGTTTCTAGGGACTAGGACAAAGCTGACAGTGATTTAGTGCCTCCCTTGTGCAGATCTGTTTCTCCTTTAATCTTCAGATAACTTGTAAGTCATGGGTACCACCTGCTTCTATAGATGAAGAAATGGATAAGGACTCAAGGCCTTAGCTGGCGTGTACAGGATGCTTACTTTGTACTAATTACTAGTTGCACAGTGTTCTCCTTTAACCCTGACAACTCTCCTGTGAGGGCAGCACTAAGTATCTTCCCATTTTGGAGGTTTGGTTCATGAGTTTGTGTGACTTGTTCAAGGCTACACGACTAATGTAAAATTGGATCCAGGCAGTGGGTGGGGCAGATGGCTTTGATACAGCGCTGCCCGACTTGAAAGCCTGTGCCATTTTGTATTGTGAAACACACCTGCTCAGACCAGGAAATCAAACCCACTGTGGTAGAGTCGATTCCAAAGCATAGAGCCCTGAAGAACACAGCAGAACTAACCCTCTGCCATAGAGTTGATTCTAACCCTTAGAGCCCCTATGGGACAGAGTAGAAGTGCCCCATAGGATTTCCAAGGCTATAAATCTTTACAGAAGCAGACCGCTTCATCTTTCTCCCACAGAGTGGCTGTGAGGTTTGAACCTCCAACCTTTTGATTAGCAACCACAACACCACCCGAGCTCCTCATCAATGCTGAGAAACCAAAAACCAAAGCCATTGCCATTGAGTCAATTCCAACTTATAGCGACCCTATAGGACAGAGTAGAACTGCCTCATAGGGTTTTCAAGGCTGTACATCTTTTGGAAACAGATTGCTTCATCTTTCTTCCAGAGTGGCTGGTGGGTTCAGACAAACGTCTTGTTGGTTAGTGGCCAAATGCTTTAACCAACAGAGCTCCTTACTATGTTTAGAGTCCTTGTTGAAATGATAACACAGATAGTAAGAAGTCATTGAGCTCAATGGCTAATCTTCATTAACCACACTCCAATTTAATTGAAGTGTTAGGACTTGAATTATTGCAATAATAAAATTAAAAGTTTAAGTTTTATAGCTGTGGTGGCATAATGTCTAAGGCACTTGACTGCTAACCAGAAAGCTGGCAGTTCAAACCCACCAGCCACTCCTCAGAAGGAAGGTTGGGCAATCTACTTCCATAGAGATACAGCCTTGGAAACCCAAGGAGGGGTTGCTATGAATTGAATTGACTTGATGGCAGTGAGTTTCGTTTGTTTTTTTACCTGCCTCAAGTTGATGCATTGGGAGAACACACAGTTAATCTAACACTGTGACCACTGCTGAAAAATAACTTTGAGCTCCTCCTTTGCAATTGCCTTCAACATCAGTGGCCTGTTCCTTTGAATGTCTTTGTTGCTGTTGTTGTTAAGTGCTGTCGAGTCAGACCTGACTCATAGCGACCCCTCCTTGGGTTTCCGAGACAGTATCACTATGGAAGTAGATTGCCCCATCTTCCTTCTGAGGAGTGGCTGGTGGGTTTGAACTGCCAGCCTTCTGGTTAGCAGTCAAGTGCCTTAGCCACTATGCTACCAGAGCTCCCTTGAATCTCTTTAGTATTGGCAAATATGTGCCCTTGGATTTGGCTTTGGAAATGGCCAGAAACCATGTGGAAATAAATCTGGTGGATCAGATTAATCACCACTTTGAGAGTTTTGTTACCTATTGCTGCATACCAAATTAGTCCAAAACTTAGTATCTTAAGACCACAAACATTTGTTATCTCACAGTTTCTGAGGGTTAAGAACCAAGGGGCAGCTTTGGGGTGGTTCTGGCTCAGGGTGTCCATGAGGTTGCAGACAAGATATTGACCAGGGCTGTGATATCATCTGAAGGCCTGACTGGGGCTGAAGGATCCACTTCCAAGTTCACTCACACAATTGTTGGCAGCCTCAGTTTTTCATAGGCTATTGGACTGAGTGCTTCATTTTCTTACCTGTTGGACTTTCCACCGGGCTATCTGAATGTACTCAAGACATGACAGCTGGCTTCCCCTAGAGTGAGAGAAGAGAGAGACAGAGACAGGGAATAAGTGAGCAAGAGCGTGCCCAAAACAGAAGGTGCAGTCTTTTATAATTGGATATTGGAAGTGACGCACCACCACCTCTACCTTATTTTATTAATCATACCGACCAACCCTGGAACAAGGTGCGAGCAGAAGATTACCCAGGGTTTGAATACCAAGAGGTGGGGGATCCTTGGAGGCCATCTTGGAAGCTGGTGACGACATTGGGAAAATGCCTCTTGGGATTTAAAAAATGCTATATGGATATAAGTTAATTGACATATTCTTTTATGTGACTTAGAAGTTAGTTCCAGAACTGAATTCTCCAACTGTGTGGGGTTTGGGAGCATCACTGAGGCTGACACGCAGCCGTCATGGGCACTGGTTTGAATATGATGATTTAATTTAATTCAGCACATGTGTACGGACTGCCTTGTGTGCGATAAGTACTGGGCAGACCTCATAAAGCGCTGTGAGATGAAGGTGACAGTCCCTGGCCTCGGGGGGCTTCCAGTAGTGGATGAGAGCATCACACCTTGTTAACACAAAGTACTGGGCTCTGTTGTTTAAATTACACAAGTGAGGACACTGTGAAGGAGAGCTTGATAAGGAAAACGTACTCATCATGTTTCTCAGATACTTTCTTGGTGGTCTGGGTTCTGGTTCTCATTGACTTATGGTTGCATAGTCCATGTCTTTGATCTTGATGTGAGTGATGGAGCTTGTGCATCATCTTTCTGTCTTCAGAGATCATGAGAAGGTTCTTTCTTCCTGGAAATAGAAGGGCCCCAGCTCACCACTATGGAGCAGAGATATATCCTGGCTCTGAGTAACAGCCTTGAGGTGAGGCAACGCAGTTAAAAACGTGTATTTAGAGTAGAAGCTACTTGGAATGAATGCCTTAAAACTGCTGCTCTCCCTCCTCCAGACATCTGTAATATGCTATCCAGTCCCCTTTCTTACCTTTCCCTCTTCTCTTGCCTCCTCAATCTCCTCTCCCTTGGCTTTTGTTCCTGTTGCCACTGCTGTGATCAAATCTCCCCACCCTGCATACAAGTAAACAGACAGCCCTTCCTGTGCCCCCATTTCTCCGATCCCAGCCCCTGCCTCACTCCATGTTTTCCTTCATGGCTAAGCTTCTTGGCACAAAAGACTGTGGCTGCTGCCTCAACCTCTTCAACTCCCATGCACTTTCCTGCTTTTTGCAAGCTGGATTTGAAGCCCTCAAATCTGTGACAACTGATTTCTTTTTTCCTATAATTTAAATACTAGCCACCATTTGCTTTATCTCAGATTCTTTCATTCTTCTACAGATTTCTCTGTCAAGTTTTCCACTATGCCTGACTTTAACTATCACTGATGTGTAATACTTTCCAAACATGACTCTCTTACCATGCTCTATCTTGAAATCCAGGTCCTTGTATCAACTGCCTGTTGGATGCAGGCTGCCTGTAACCTCCCCAAACTCAACTAGCCTCCTTCCAAGCTCCCTTCATAATCAAAGCATCACCATTTGCTGGATTTGCTTGAGCTGAAAGCTTTGGGGGCATCATGGACTCTTCTTTATCCTTTGTATTCTCCCAGCATCCCCAGGGGTTTGGTCTTACTGCTTTGCCCACACATTTTGTCTGCAAGTGAACCATCATTTCCTTACCATCTCCACTGCCTGCCTTCTTGCCTCGGGCCTGATCTCATGCTATCTACCCTGCATGCTGTCCTCAGGTTTATCTTGAAACACAGAGGAGACTCTGTCCCTGTCCCACTTAAACCCTCTGACGTTCACTTCACTTATGGGATGAAGCAGAGGTGTGCAAAAACCAGACACTGAGCCAAGAGGAAGAACAGCCTGTTTGCCCCCAGTGCTTTGGACAGCTGGACCTTGAGCCCTGCTTGACCAAATCCACACTGAGCCCCATTGAGTCTCATGTATATAGCAAGTCTCAGGCCCCAGGGATTGGAGCAAAAGTAGCTCTGTTTCTAAAGATGACCAATTACTAGAGGGACACCATGAAGGTCACACTTTAAAGGAATCAATTACAGATCAGATGCAATGATAGATATGGGTTCAGGGCACATTTTTACACACATGCACTCAAGTTGATAATAAAGCTTGCACTTTCATAGGCTTTACAGCTTACCTAACACTGCATGTCTTCTGGATAAAGTCCAAACTCCTTAGTGAGGGCCACCAAGACCTTCATCACCTGGTCTCTGCCCACGGCTCTAGCCTCATCTCTCCCAAGTCCAGCTGCCCCTAGACTCAAATAATATGCAAACACTTGCAGGTCCTCCTGCTGTACCTCTACTGGAACATCTACTAGGCTGCTTTCTCCTAGCTATTGAGGTCTCAGCTCAGCTGTCATTTACTTCCCTTGAGGGGTTGACTCTGACACTCTCGCCATCTACCCCTCAAGTCAGAGTTGACTTCCTGCTCTAGGCTGCCATAAAGATTTCAGGGCAGGACAGTGCCGTTGCCTGTTGAGCTCTCTGCCCCCCACCATTCTCCCCAAAAGCAGGACATCTGGAACTCCCTTTGCCATGGTCTCCTCAGTGCCTGCACAGAAATTGGCACAGAGTAAATGCTCAGTAAAATTTTCTTTTTTCTTTTTTTTTGAGCAGATGAAAGACTCCTCCTGCTCTTTAGGTTAGCAGGTTAGCATAGTCTAATGAATTTTTAAAGAAAGGAATTTGAAATATGTCAACTGCCGTTTTGCTAAAATAGAAGGAAAATTCACCAATGAGCCTCTTTTGTGAAAGATGCTAATGGTAAGTTTTCGTCTGAATCTATGACACATATAAAAATGAAAACCAGCCCCACACCCTTCGTGATCTGCATTCACCTGGCATTTATCTCCACCCCCATCTCTGCCCTTTTTGATCTCAAAAGAGATGGATTTAAGACACACTCTACTCTAATGCTGCCTCATTAATATATGAAAACCCATTCCCAAATGGGATTGCAACCACAGGTATGAGGGTTGGCATTTACAACACGTTTTGGGGGCACACAATTCAATCCATGGCATGCCCTTCCATTGGGATACATATATTTCTATGCATTGACCCAAGTGTCCCATAATCACTCTATCTTC